CAGACTCCATCTCATCTCCGAAAGATCTCCATCTAATCATGGCTCGGGCCCCTCGTTTTTCTATTCTCTGTTTGCGCAATAGCTCGAGTTTGGCGATGCTTCATCGGGATCGCTCATCATCGATGGCACCCTGTACAGTGTGAGCGAGTATCACATCCATGCTCCCAGCGAGCACACTGTGAATGGGAAGCACCTCGCAGTCGAGGGGCATCTTGTCCACAGGAGTGAAGACAACAGGCTTGCAGTCGTCGCAGTCATGTACACGATTGGATCCGAGGACGACCCTTTTATCGATCAGGTAAGCAGAGATCTGGGTCTTCTTCGAGTTGTTTTCACTGTCTTTTTGGTAAGGTTGAGCATTTTCTACCTGAGCTGAGCGGCGAGCAAGATGTTCAAGTGGTGGATCCCTCGCTGCTCAATGTTGGAGGCAAGCGATTCTTCAGATATGTTGGATCACTGACATCACCGCCCTGCACCGAGCAAGTGACATGGAGCGTGTTGAGACGAGTAAGCAAATAATTTCCTTAATCTTTAGTTTCTTTCCCTCTGACCTTGGTTCTGATGTTGCAGCCACGAACGATCTCGAAAACGCAGTACCGGCTTTTGGTGAATGCCCTCAATGTAAGAACTGATTCACGCGCTAAAAAACAGCTTCTAACATTGTGTGTACAGGGTGATAACAACAGATCGATACAAGGATTGTTTGGAAGAAGAATAAGCTATTATAAATAAAAGATTCGTTAGAGTCCTTTTAGGGCACGCATTTTTTTAACCTCGTCTTGCTTAGATGCAGATCACCTGGCAAATCTTTCTAGCAAGCATTAATTCTTTACCCTTTCCTTTTTTAAGATTAGTAAGAGTGAATATGCTGAGTTGCACTAATGTTTTTGGTTTGCTTAAGCAAATCTGTTATGCTGCAAATAAAAACGAGTTTTAACGTTTATTAAAGTAATTATATGAATTGTCTCCGCACATTGTTCTAGTTTTCTAAATTGATATATACTGCACATTTTATTTTTAGACACCAACACTTTGTTTAAAGGTTATCCAAAAGCCCTAAACCCTTGTGTTTTAAAGATGGTCAAATTTTTTAGATCATGGATGGAGCATGGAAGATGGAGATTGTTTGTCAAATGTCTTTGAGATTGTCTGCCACCCGGTTGAGCGCCACGGCCAGATTGGCGAGCTGCGCCGCCAGCTCCCTGCGATCCCTCGACTCGATCTGGAGCCTCTCCCTCTCAAACTGGAGCGCCTCCCTGTGCCGCGCCTCGCGCTTCTCCTCCATGCTCGCCACCGCCGCCATGTACGTGCTCGTCAGCTTCCCAATCGCCGCCACCACGTCGCTCGCCGATTGCTGCCTCTTCTTCTTCCCGCTCGACCCCGGCGCCAGCTCGTGGTGGTGATCGTGATCGCCCTTGCCCGCGCGCGTCGATTGCGCGCTGGTGCTGAGATGGTCCAGCGCCTGCGCCGGCGGCGGCGGCGACACGATGGCCAGCCGCCCCGAGAGGAAAGAGTCGAGGCGATCGAAGAGGTCCTTGTCGAAGTAGCAGGGCAGCGATGGATCCTCCCTGCGCCGCTCCTCGATCGACATGGCGAAGTAGTTTGGCCTGCCGCTCTTCTTGAGCACGCCCTTGATCGTCTTGTAGTCGGAGAGGAGATTGTCCCACTTGCCCTTGCACTGGGCGACGTCGCGATCGTCGATCCCGTTGCGCTTCATGTGATCCACCACGCGCTTCCACTTCTCGCCCGAGCTGATCACCATCTTGTCCCGCGACAGGCAGCTCGCGCCGCTCGTGTCGATCGTCGCCTCCGATTCCATCTTCTTGCCCTCGATCAGGAGCAGCACCTCGCTGTGCGTCCAGTTGCGATTCCTCTTCCTCTTCCCGGACAGCTGGTCGCCGGCATTCCTCGCGGCGCCACCGCCGACGCCGCCATAGCCCTTGTGAGCGGCAGCGTCCCCGACGATCACCTCCGAGCCCCCGAATCCGGCCTGCGATGCCTCTACCAGCTCCACCAGCGGCGATGCCATCGTAATCTCGCCCTACAGCTCCATGGAGTCTCCCCAGCTCTCTTCTCACCTGGCTCGATCCATCGCTCTTGCCCGCTCGCGGGAGCCCTAAACTCCGGCCGACGTGGCGCTCTGGACGGCCGGGATTGATGCTCTCGAAGCAAGGGCTCGGATTGAATAGGGTTTGAGGGCTTGCTCTTCGTTGTCTGTGCTCGGTGGAGGAAGGCGCGCATGGCATGGGACCTAGCGCTGTGGATTCTCTCGTTTCTCGCGGTCGCAGCGGCGCTGGGGATCATCGTCTACCAGGTGAGCTCTCTTCCTCCTCGGAATCTCTTCGTCAGTGATGAGAAGGCAAAAATTCATTCTTGGCGAGTCCTTTGGACAAATGAGCTGGAGTAATCGCTAATCTTCTCTCTGAGACGCTTCTTGCCACTGATGATCCACTGTAGCGTGTCATATGAGTTCTTCTTTAGGACAGTGACTATAGCACAGTCTTTAAATCTGAGGCTTCAAAAGGGAAATTTTTTTTCTTCTCTTCTGATGATGGGTTGTTTTTTTTGTCCTTCTCTCGCAGCTGCTATGTCTCTCCGATCTCGAATTCGATTTTATAAATCCCTTTGATTCTTCATCGCGTATCAACCGGTTTGTTCTTCCTGAATTTGCTATCCAGGGAGTGCTGAGCGCGATCTACCTTATTTTCGGCTACTGGCTCATGTTCTTGCTAAACGCCCCGCTCTTATATTATAACATAAGACTGTAAGTTGCCATGTTTTTCATGTTTCCCTGCATTGACATGCTCTGATGTTAACGTGAATTTCTTTTTTTTTTTCACCTCAGATACATGAGCAAGAGGCACCTTGTAGATGTCACGGAGATCTTCAATCAGCTTGAACCGGAGAAGAAGATACGCTTCTACAAGCTCGGCTTTTACCTTTCTTTGCTGTGCATCGTCATATACAGGTAAGCATAGCTCCGTGTTTATTTCTTAAAAGTTGGATTACTTTCTTGTACAGGATGCTATTGAGTGTGATTTAAGGATTTTTGTTGCTGCTCTGTAGGCTGGTGGTTTCCTCGATGGAGGTCATTCTCGAGTCGGGCATTGCATCCATGGCGGAGATTTAATTGTGAGAATTCAGTTGTTCCACTCTTTAGTGCTGAACAAATTTTCGTCCACGCAGGATTTTAGTTTCTCAAACGTGTAGAGTGAGGTACAAATAGATGGTAATTTTTGATGTGATCTAATGACTTCTATGTGCAGGAAAGAAAAGTATTTTCTTTGTGAATATTGTAGTCTATCTTCGGCTATAATATATGTACGCATTGCGTCAAAAATGAAGTGTCGCTTCTCATTGGGTACGCGGCGAATAAATACCGCTTTCTCAAAAATTCGTGGGACCAAATGTTTTCAGAAAACAGCTCCGCTCCATCTATGCCCGTGCCTTGTCGACAAATTTCTATTTGTCGGGTAATCACATTTTTAATTTTTTTTTTTCCCTCTCTTTTGCGGCTGGTTGTGGAATCCGTCTCATGGTATATATTTGCAGATGCGGCGGGACGAGAGCTCACTTCGAATGGGGTTTCTTTCCTTGCTGCGATCAAGGAAGTCAGGTTTCGTTCTGGAAGGTGATGAATCAAGCTCGGCACGCAGTAGTGGAAGTGTCGCTCCTTCAACAGAGTTAGAGGGTGCTGCTTATGTCTGCTCCGCTTGCAAGACTCGCAGTTTTAGGAGCTCGGGAAGGCCACTGAAGGTTTTCTTTTATGAGGAGCTCAAGGCAGCTACCAACGACTTTGGGTTTTGCAACTACATGGCAGACGCAGAGGGTGGTCATGTATTTAGAGGAGTTTTAGAAGGAGGCGAGGTGGTTGCCGTGAGAGTTATATCGGACGCATCAGTCTTTCAATCTCGCAAGCAGCTCTTGGGCCGCATTCGTTCGTCTAATATTGTGAGACTGGTAGGCTACTGCGACGAAGGCGACGACAGGAAATTTCTTGTTTATGACTTCATCTGCAACGGCTCTTTGGAGTGGCATCTAACAGGTAGCGAATTTTTTCCTTTTCATCTTTACATCGTCGTTGTTCTCTAATCGTGACCTTGTGCAGTTCTCACTCGGAATGCCATGGGTTGGTCTATAAGGAAGTCAATTGCCGTGGGAATAGCCAAAGGTTTGCTTTACTTACACAGCTACTCAATCGCACATAGGAACTTGCGATCTAGGAACGTTCTCTTGACTCATGATTATACACCAGTTGTAAGTAAGCTATGTTTGTAGTTTCAGTGCCTAAAACATTTGCACAGATTACAGGGATGGGCTATGCAAAGCATAAAACTCAACCAGCTTTTCCAAGTCCTCCTTGTGTCACTGGGTAAGTTTTGTATTTATCTCAGACGCCATTGCTCATTTTTCACGTTGATAGCTACTCTGCTCCAGAACATTTCCGGGGGCATGCAGTGGACGAGAAGAACGATATCTTTTCCTATGGTGTCATACTGCTGGAACTCATCACTTCTCGAAAGGCCATGGAGGATTCAAGCCAACGCCTTCTGACAGAATGGGTAAAATGCTGCCTCGTGGTGTTCGTCTATTGACATAGAGTTGTTTTATAGGCGTCCCCGCTGCTCCGAGACTTTGACCGCCAAAAGCTCGTCGATCCCGAGCTTGGCTGCGACGATAACAACACCTACGAGCTTGTCACTATGATGAGCATTGCGTCGCTCTGCTTGAGCGAAGATCCACTGGAAAGGCCAAGCGCAGACAAGGTAAACGTGCGAGAACTTGAGTGTCTCATCGCCTTTTTAAATATCGTTCCAGATCTTGAGCCTGCTAGAAGAGGATTGTGACAGGGAGGTTTTCAGCTCCGACGATGACTTGTCCACTCTGTCGCAAGCTTCGTCGTCGCTAACACATCGAGCGGAGAAAAAGGTGACTTGGAATGCTTGCTCTCCAGTAAGAAGAGCTCCTTCTCGTCGCCTCTCATACAATGTCATGCTCTCTTAAAAAAAACTATGGTTCTTTTACTAAAGAAATTCAATCCTTTTCATCGTCTAAGGGAACGAAAAATTATACTAGAAAATAGTATATCAATGCCATCTCGAAGTTTCGCCCCGTAAAATTTCAAACTGATACTACTTGGATTTCCTACGATCTCACCATATTCAAAACCGTTGATTGTTCCGATTGATATTAGAAAAGTATTTGCGCCAAGAAAAACATCACCGTGGTGACAAGAGGAGAGAAATCTGGCATAAAAAGACAAAACAAAAGAAAAAAAAAAACCAATACATTTTAATTACTTTTTCCATTCTAAAAAGCTTACCAGATCGACCAGCGCTGTTCTGCTCGAGCAAAGCTGCAAACACACAAAAAGTTAGGCCTGGAAAAAGAAAGAACCAAAAAGGAGAGGATAAACAAGGAAGAGAAAAAGCGAAGGAACACACTATCACCTACAAGCAAGGAATGGCAGGCAGAGAAAAGAGAGGAGAGCTTACTAGGACAGGCACTGGTGTTGGAGTCGAGCTTGCAATGCGTGGGAAGCATGACGGCGTTGGTGATATTGATCCCGGGAGTGGAAGTTACACCGCCAGTGGAGGAGAGGAGCTCGCACAGGCAAACGGGGCTGTGCTGATAGATGTAGTGGAGCCCCCGGCAGCACCTCGAGCCTGGAAGATCTCTCTTTCCCTCGATGTAAGTGATGCACGGCTGTATCCTGGCCAAGCGAGCTGTGCACTGCTTGTCCTCCCCAAGGACCAAGTGTACCACTAGGGGCAGTAGCAACACCAGCAGACTCACTCGCGCCGAGGAAGACGAAGGCGAAGCCATTCTCTTCCTTCCCGAGCTCTGTCCTTGCGATCGAAAATGGAAATGAGACTCTACCTCGGCTTGGCTTGGCTTGATCTCGAGCTTGAGCTCTGCTCCACCGCTTTTTGAGACTCGCTCCCCCCCTTCCTCCTCGAAGGAAGAACTGTGAGGCACCTGAAAATCTGCTGCCGCTGCTCCTGAAACTGTGTTCTTGTTGCAGAGTAAAACTTGGTGTTTAATCGCTTGCCACTGCGGGAATTGAATGGAAACGTGTCAGGTAGCATTTAAGAAGACAACTACCACGCTGCACTAACTGCACCACCTTTGGCTGGCGTATATGCGATTCCCATATGTTTCTCGAAGAATTCAACTCTATCAATTTTGGAGCTCGTCCTGTCTTTTTGTCCGCGTCAACAAATTCCGAATGATCATTAAATAATCAACGCTTTGAGCTGATCAACCTGGAAAGAAACCAAGTACAGGAGGAAGTTTCCATTTATGTAACAGAGAAAAGAAACACCAGTCAGTGCACGCACCTCACTACAAAATAGCAATCGCTTTTGTCTGGTCAAGCCTGAATTATAAAGCACGTCCATCGATGAGAAACAAGAAATTCTATAACGGAGGAGCAACAAAACGAACCTCATTGTCCTCCTCCTCATCGCCTGCCGAATGGATCATGTTGGACAAAACTACGTAACCCGAGCAGTCGTTTGGATCCAGCTCCAGCAACCGTTCAGCTGCACGCTTGCCACACTCGACGTCTCCGTGAACGCTGCAAGCTCCCAGCAGAGCAACCCACAATCCTCGATCACTGTCCATGCTCCTGAGAAAGTTTTCTGCCTCCCTCAACCATCCAGCACGTCCTAGCAGCCCGACCACACAGCCACAGTGCTCCAACCCGGGAACCAGCTCGTCGTCCACGAGCATCGCGTAAAAGTTCTCACACCCATCGGCCAAGAGCCCCGCATGGCTGCAAGCCCAGAGAACACTGACGTAGGTGACTTCGTCGGGATCCACACCAGCTTGTTTCATCTTCCTGAATAGATCCAGGGCCATACTGCTGTCCCCGTGTTGCGCGTAGGCATTGATTAGCGCGGTCCACGAGATGGAGTCCTGGTGGTCGAGGCTGTCAAACACTCGTTGCGCGTCTTGAAAACTTCCACACTTCCCATACATGCTCACGATGGCGTTTCCAAACGAGCTCTGCAACGCAGCACCAGTCTCGGCGCTGCAAGCATGAACCATCCTCCCCTCGGCCAGCGAGCTCGTGTTCCCGCAAACTTCCAGCATGCAGAGAAGTGTCACGAAGTCAGCCCTCACGCCTTCCAGTTGCATCCTCAGAAACAGCTTCAGCGCCTCAACGTCTTGTCCATGCTGAGAGTAACCAGTGATTATCACAGTCCAGCTGACCACATTCCTGTGTTGCATCTTGCTGAAAACCTCCCTGGCCTTGTCCAACCTTCCACACTTTGCGTACATGTTGACTAGCGCATTCCCAACCTGAAGCTCGTTTTCAAACCCGGCTTCAACAAGGCACGAGTGAATCGCGTCCCCGGCCCTGAGATCATCACACGCGGTGAGGGTGGCAACGTAAGTCACGCTATCACTTCGGACTCCCTCCTGTTGCATGGAGTGAAAGATCTCCATGGCTTCCCTGTTATGCCCGTGTTGAGAATAGGCGGTAACCATCGCAGTCCAGGACACTGTACTCCGGGGACTCATCGCGTCAAACATTTGCCGGGCACTCCACGGACAGTGGCACTTGCTGTACATGGTCACTAAAGCTGTTGCCACGAAAGTGTCCGACTCGATGCCAAACTCCCGTATGCATGAATGGATCTTCTTCCCTTCCGAAAGTTCGTGAGAGCCACTTAAAACTCCCAAAACTACGATGAAAGTGATCCTGTCAACTTTGGCACCCTCTTGCTGCATCCTCCAAAAGAGCCGGAGACAGTACCTCGAGTGCATACGCCCGGCTTGGGCATAAGCTGAGATGAGAGCGTTCCAAGACACCGAGTTGTGCTGCGGCATAGCTGCAAAAACCCGACTTGCTTCTTCCAAACTTCCACACCGCCCATACATTCGCACGATGTGGTTCCCCAAGATGAGGTTCTCTTGGAGACCTGCCTGAACTGCGAGACCATGAACTTTCCTCCCTTCGACCAGAGCGTTTGCGTTCCCACATGCCTGGAGAGCTCGAGCATATGGACCCGGATGAGATGGTAGATTATCCGGGTCCAAAGCATCTACCAGTCTCGTCAAACTGCTGCTTTCACTGGCAATTTGCTCCAACCGATCAAACAATCCCTTGAGCTGCTGCTGCTGTCCGGTCTTCTGGATTCTTGCCAAAGGAGTGGGAGTGACCACCACCAGACCACGAAGAACATCGCCCATCACAAGTCTTTTCGGAAGAACATCTCCGCGAGTTGGTCTCTCAGTTCCTGGCCCTGCTGCTCCTCTAAACTAGCACACTCGCCGTTGCCTGCCTGTAGATGGTGGTGTTGTTGGTGGTATCTTACAAGGCTGTCCTCGTCCAGCCTCAGTGTCTGGAGAATGCTCTCGACCGGGATCTCGTTCTTGTCCAGCAAAACGTTGTGTAGGATGCAGCAGGCTGCGATGACTTTGGGAACAAACTTGACGTTGTGCTTCACGCACTTCGCTAGTATCTCGAACGTCTCCTTGAGAATCCCGAAGCTTTGTTCGATGTGGATCACCGCCCGAACATGCCTCCTGTTAAAACTCTCAGCCATCACAGGCGTTTCAGCCTCCTGGTAGCGGACCAGCAGCCACGGAAGAAGCGGGTACTTGTCACCACCCACAAGATAGTGCACCGAAGAGTTCTCAGACTGCGCCGCCGAGAGTAAGTTCGCTCCAGTTTTCAGTAGACCAGGACTGTGGGGATGCTGAGCATTGCATTGTATATCCAGAAACCTGTACGAGGTGTCGCAAACAGCCTGGAGCGCGATCAAACAGCTTGGTACGTCTCCCGAAGCCATAACTTGAACATTCGTCGTACCAATCGCACCAACGCAATTCGGAAGCTCGCACTTGTCGACAAACCCAGCAGCCGTCTGCCTGAGCCTCTCGGGAAACCTCACACAGCTTCCAAAGTGCTGGTTGATCGCCCTGACCACGTCAATGACGCAGCTCTGCGAGCTGCTCACACCGATTCCAAACTTCTCGCCTATGACGTGCAAGTCAGCCCCGCTGGTCAGCCTGTAGAGCGCGGCACCCAGCCTGCATGGAACCGGAATCGGCGACCTGAAGGTGGTGACTTTCTTGTTGAGCAGCGGCTTCAGCTGGTCGCAGATCCACAAGAACGTCTCCCGAGACATCTTGAGAGCGTTGAACCAGCTATCCCGGTCGTGCACCTCGAGCAGGAACTTATCAAACCAGGCTGGGTTTCTCGGCTTCACCCACCACCCAGCATCCGTGGAAAGCGCCAGAGAAGCCGACAGCATTGCACTTTGGAAGAAGAGCGCGTTGAGCTCGTCATCCTCTTCTTCCTGGCGTTTCTCTTCGTCCTGGTCACGAGCGAGACCGGTTTCCAGTCCAAACGACGCAGGACTTACGTTGATAATCTGCTCCACAGCACTCGCGGCAGAACAAGCTGTCGCAACAGCAAGCCTGAGCTTCTTCCTCCGGTCCATCTGTTCATATCAAAAACAACGTGTCGTATCACTACCACCAAAGGAGAAAATCGGTAGGAAAAAATCTCCAAGGTCGCACTGACAACCAGCAGGACAGATCGTCGTCACAAGAGTGAAAAGTCAAAAAACAAAGAGCTCGTGCGATGGCGAATTGAATAAGAAGGAGCCAATCATTCATGCGTCAAGACCGAATCAACCAGTAGCAGATTTGCAGACTTGCAGATGTGAGCGCCGATCGATAGAATAAGACCTCACGAACAAACAATCGCCATTTCACGAGCCATCGCTCGAGACAAAACAGTTTCACGACCAAGACTCGAGGGAAAATATGCGAGAAGAATCCATGAAAATGCGCAGCTCAATCCACCCAAAATCTAGAGCGCTCTGACACCGCGTTCTTACCTTCGGATGCACGCCATCGAAGATGCAGCTCTCCTCCTCCCAATCCGCCATACCCTAGCACTGCGACTTCTTCTCCATCGCTACAAGCAAGCCAGCAGCCCTTAGGTCAAAATCTTTCACAAGGATTTTTTTTTTTTTTTCCTTCGGTTTAACATCACAATATCTGTACATCAGAGGAAGAGAATCAAAAAACATTCTCTGGTATTTTCTCTAAACTCACTCTCTTCTAGCATCGATTCTCCACCGATCTTTCACCGAGAAGAAAATGCGATGGCCGCCGCCGCTCGAGAAGATCACGAGTAGAGCATCGCGGTGGACAGATCGTAGGCAAATCCCTGCTTGGCCCGCGGGATGGGCGATCGGCACGTACTCCGGACGTCGTCCTCGTCCTCGAATTCCAAGCGCGGCCTCTTCTTGGCGGCGGCGGCGGCGGCGGCGGAACTCTGCTGGATCTGGAGCAAGATCTCGCTGATGTTGCTGGGCACCGACTCCAGCTTCATGGGAGGAGGATTGATGATCCTGGGCTGCTGCGAAGAGCTCGGGGGAGTATTGGCAGCCTGGAACGATTGGGTGTTGAGAGATTGATCGTAGGCCCAGGGATTCACCTTGCTCATCATCACCATGGTCGTGTTGCCGGTATTGTGGAACTTATCGCCCAAGAAGGTCTGGAAGCCATAGCCGCCGCCGCCGCCGCCGCCATAGCCACCGCTGGTAAGTGACGAGGATTGATGGTGGTAGTGATCGAAGCTCTCGGAAGTTTGCTGCTGCTGGGACGAGGATTCGAAGAGTTCCTGCTGCTGGGGTGGCGGAGGAGCTGACGATAAACCTCCTACGAACTGCGTGGCTAGCTGCGCCGACGAGGATGATCCGAAGGGTGGGATTTTGTAGAGGCGAGAGTTGTCGTCGATGTCGGGGAGAGATGCTAGAACGTCGTCGAGCTCCTCCTCTGGCGGCTCGGATTTCATGCTGCTCCTGGGCGTGGTGCTGCCGGATAGCATCGGCTTGAATGCTCCACTGCTCTTCTTGTAAATCCGGCACAGTACCCAGTCGTCGAGCTGGAAAAAAAATCGATGAGAAAAACTGGAAGAAATGACCTCACAAGACACGATCTCTCGAAAGAATCGATGATTCACCATGAAAACTCTAGAGGAAACGAGGATTTCGGCAAAGCATCGAGGATTTTCACCACAGAATGCAAGAAAGCAAGGATTTCATGTACTTCTCGCAAGCGCCAGCCGATTCCAGAAGAAACGAGGGTTTCACCAAGAAATCGCCAAAGAATGGAGGATTTCACCACAAAGAATGCCAGAAAAGCAAGGATTTCATGGATTTCTCGAGAGATCGAGCCCGCCGATTCAAGCAAGAAACGCGAATTTCACCAGGAAATCGAGGATTTCACCACAAAGAATGCAAGAAAGAAGCCATGACTGAGGCGATGACGGAGATTCTTCTTACCCTGAGCGATCCTTTCTTGCGCATGGCCGGAATCGCTGCGGCGGCCTTGGCGCTGCTATCGGCGAGGCGGTACTCGTGCATGATCCAATTCGTCTTGGATCCCTTGGGCGCCTTGCCCTTGTAGAAGACGAGCGCCTTCTTCACCCCTACCTTCTTGCCCTTGCTAAGAATGGGCTTGTCCGTGCCGGTGGCCTTCCAATACCCGGATGCGGCAGCCCGGTTGGGGCGCGCGCCATTGGGGTACTTCCGGTCCCTGGGGCTAAAGAAGTACCACTCCCTCTCCCCAAACAGGGCCTTCTCCGGGAGCTCCCACGGATCAAACTTGTAGAGATCGATCTCGGCGATGATAGGGATCGCGAATGGCCGGCTCTCCGCCTTGATCGCCAGGTAGCTCACGACGAGCTCCTCGTCCGTGGGGTGGAATCGAAAGCCCGCGGGGAGGTTGAGCTGCTCGGATGGAGGCGCTGTGCGCGGCTTGCCGCCGCTGTCCATAGATCGATCGACCGAAATTGGATCGATGAGCTCCCGAGGAATGCCGAGCTTTCTAAGGCGATTGGATTGCGCTCGCCTCTCTTTCTTGACCGAATCTCGCTGGCTGGCGTGCGGATGAATAATCTCTTCCTCTTCTTCTCGATAGCTCCTTACGTGATCATCACAGCGATGGATCAATCAAGTGGAAGAAAGAACACACAAAAGAAAAAAAGACGAGGAGGAAAAATGTGGGCGCTGGCTTGAAAGTCGGCCACGTGTTTAGGTGGCGATTGAGGCGGTCGAAAGAAAAATAAAGGGAGGGGATGAATATATGCACGCACGCTTTACACTAGACCGCGGAGCTTCCGCGAAGGCAATGCGGAAGCTTCCTCCTGGTGAATATGCTGCATCCAGCTTGGACCGTGCAAGGGCTGGCGTGGCACTCCGTACCGCGACCGGCATTTGTCCCGGCCTGGCGGCGTGACGACCGGCTCCTAGCCGGTCACAAATGTAGTAAAAGGTGTCACAGCACAGCTTGGTCCGGCTTGAGCTGTGCAAAGCTCCAAACTTTCATCCACGCTTTGGACAGGCAAGAGAAATCTCTCTTTCATCACGCACGGAACAGACAATGGCTCTTGCATCATCTCTCGCACAATGAAGTGAGTGATCTGGAACTGAATGATCCAGGGATCAATCGCTGGGATCACCACATTTCCAGATGGTTTTGACTTGGGTCTCTCGACGTCTCCAATTTCGCAACACCCATCTTCATGACAAGTTCCTGGGACTGGTTTCTAGAAAACGAATCCAGCCAAGCACAAAGTTATATCAATCAGTACAGAACTTTGGCTTACGGGGAGACTGTCTTTTAGAAACGCGAATCAAACACGACCTCCACTCCACTTTATTTTACTTTTTGGATGTTCCCAGGTTCCACACTAACATGGGCGGCACCGCATAATTTCCTTGCCTGCTTCAAAGCTGCCCACGTGAGTATTTGCCATCGTCGTATGTAACAAACGCGTGCGTAGCTTTCTCCGGCCCCACTGTACGTGGATACATCCGCTCATACATACGCCGCTAGAGTCCAGACGGTTGTTGTAGAGTTATACAGTGGATGTTCCCACCGCCCAAAACGATCTCTCTCCCTCGCTTCACCATCACCACCTGGAAAAAACGAGAGATTTAAGCTGTACAGCTATGAAATGGAAAGTTCTACCTTACGGTTTGGAAAAGCTTCGCTCAAAACTTTGAAGGCTTGTTCGTCTCTGGCAGCGTCGCCGAAAGCCGGTGCCACAATGCCACCGTTTGCGATGTAGAAGTTCACGTATGAAGCTGCGAGACGTTCTCCGGCTGGTCTTGACACAGCACTGAGCTCCTGAGATTGAGTTTCGCCAACAAAGTGGAAACAAAAGCCAAGCGAGCGAACCGAACCTTGACACCAGCAGCTTCCTCCGGAGATCTGTAGAGCGGGCCTGGGATGTGGATCTTGACGACTTGCAGCGATCGGCCTCTAGCATCCTTGCACGAGGTGAGCAAGTTGAAAGCTTCCAGAGATCGTTCGTACTGAGGATCAGCTTCGTCGTCCACCCAAGAGAGTAGGACCACGCCCGGCCTCACGAAGCAACACATGTTGTCAACGTGGCCATTTGTGTCGTTGTCGCCTATACAAATCGACCAGCAGATCATTTGTTTTGTTTCAAGCTTGCTGTAGAAAAAAAAAAGAAAAAGACTCAAGTTTCATACCATGTAGTCCTCGTGGCAGCCAAATAACGGCCTCAACTCCCAAGTAGAGCTTCAGCTGTTCCTCAATCTCTTGCTTTGTCATGCTCGCATTTCGGTTTGGGTTCAGCAGACATTCTTCCGTCGTCAAACAAGTCCCTTTGCACAAAAAAAACGAAATAAACACAGAAGAGTTGCGATTCTTTTCATACCTTCGCCGTCAACATGAATAGCACCCCCTTCCAGGACCATTGTGTGCGAGAATCGCGGCAAACGTGCAACTTCGAGGATCTAAACTGGTCATTTAGCTCGAGCTAGCCGGATATAAATGCAAATCGTTCTCACCTTTCTAGCAACGAGGCTGTCGAACTCCCAGTTCCTGTAACATCCAGCAGTAGCTCCTGGAAGAACAAATGAGCTTCTAACAACAGTTCCATCAACACTGACCTCCCCACGCATTAAAAGTCCAGTCGATTCCAGCAGTACCACCACCGGCGCCTGGCAAACGTACTCTCTTCACTACAAACTACACGCAAAACGTCATCATCTTAAAGCAAGAATTTGCTTACGGTTGGTCCCGTGTCCCGGAACCACGAGTCGCTCATGCTCATCTCGATCACACGGACACGCTTGGGCAGCTGGCTCCTCGCATTCTCCCACTGCAAATGGAAGAACAAGTAAGAACCGCTAAACAATCCAAGCCAAGCTCAACCTGAGCAGCGCTTGCGCACACAGTCACGTCCTCGAATTGAGAAATCGCGGTAGCGACCTCGACGAAAGCAGCTTGCGCGGGCTTCGCATCGTCTCTCCAATTGTCAGTGCGTTCCTAGAAAGAAAAAAAAATGAGAAAGAAGAAAGCAACAACACTAACTTACCGGCCAACCCATCCAGCAGCCAGAATGGCGCTCCCACTCCGCCGGCATGTAGTAGCCGAGATCCCGCGGCGTTGCCATTCTTTGTACCTCGAACCGGCCCTAATTTTTACTAGGGTTCCCAGCGAACAGGCCCGCCACCTCCAAAGAATGGTCGCATGTAAGAATCATCGAAGCCTCTCCACAGGCTATGCACTGCCGAGGTTGGATTGGCGAGAAGCATGCTGAGGCTGCTCCGCCGGAGAAAGGTTGACGACCCATCTTCGTTTGCTTCTTCATCTTTCGGGGACGAAGGCTCCAGATGCCGTAAGTGGTGAGGGAGTAGTGTTGCAATCAGCGGTTTTGTGACAACTCCCACCACCTTATAGAAAACGAAGTTAGCAAATCTTGTCAGTTTCAGGAAGAAAATTTTACGTACCAAGGTTGTGAAGAGTACTACTCCAGTTGTGCTATAGATCATGGTTGCATAGTCCGCGTTCATGGTTCCACTTGACGTTGAGAACTGAGAAACAAAGAAAATGGCGATGATCTTTTCTGATTAGATGCTTGTGTACCTGCTGGTACGCAAGGGCGATGGAGACTGCTCCCCGCATTATCCCGGACCACCAAATAATCACCTGTGAAAAACAAATCGTGGTGAAAAAACTGGCTCTGGTACTTTTTAAGCAGTAGTTTTCTTTCCCTTTGCTATCTCACTACGCTAGAATTACCTGGTGCCTAAAGCGCAGCTTCACGCTTGATGAACCACGGGCATAGTTGGAGATGGCGGACATTGGAAAGACAAATGCCGCCCTCCCGAGAGGAGTTAGCGCCAGCAGCATAGCACAACTCAGTGATGCGGCTCTGCATTCATTCCAGATTCAAGTTGTATTAGTGATCAAGTTCAGAATGAAAGTACTCCCACTTGCCTGACATCGACAAGTTGCCATATGTTCACGTTGAAAACATTTGTCCCCACGTACAAGAACATGAAGCTTTCGGAAATGGAAGAAAAGGTAGCGAAAGCATGCCTGCTCCACCGGAGTTTTACGTCAGTGATAACAAGAGCTTACTTTACCATGGCTCTTACTTGGATGTGATTTTGGAACTGCCAGAAACATTGTGCCAGCCGTAGTGGGACATGAAAATGCCGCAAAAGAAAACCGAAAGTATCCCGCTCCATTGGAATAGCTGAAAATAAACAAATTATCGTTGAGGAAGAAACGATTATAGGCAAACCTCAGCCAACATATAAGACAGATACGCCATCAAAGCCATCAGTGCAATCTCTTTATCCGTGGAGTGCCTGCACTGTGTGAACTGTGACGTAAACACACGCGCCAAAACAACTGTAAGAACACGTACTTCCCGAAGTATAGACTCTTGAGAACATAAGCTGCGATCAGTCCAATCTAAGTTCATGAGAATTAGCCCAAGATTTAACAGAGAACTAACGACTTACCACAACTCCAAGCACGGTGCTCACTGAGAAGAGGTAGACAAATTCATAGATCATTCTCAGCGCTGCTTTTCCATCCAATCCAGCCTCTTCAAACCTCTGAACAGCTCGGAACAAAACAACAGCGGTTGCATCGTTAACCACCCCTTCCCCAAACACAAGACTGTAAAGTAGAGGAGTTTCGTCTTGGTGCAGCAACTGGCAGAGAAAGAAATCATGAAATTATAAACAAGCACGACGAGACAAAACCTGTAAAGTTGCCACGGTGTCTGTCGCCGAGAAGATTGTCCCAAGAGCTGCAAACACCCAACAGCGATTGGAAGACAATGACATTAGTCGATCGATTTAGCCTTGCTCACCCAAGTAATCTCTCATTTGCAGATTTCCAAGTTTTAGCCGCGGAAACATGTACTTGCATCCTGCAAAAATGCCAGTAGCGTGTTAAAGTTGAACAGCATCGCCATGGAAAAATCAAACCAGCTGTGACGATGGATGCCGAGATCAAGACACCGGATCCGCCAAAGAGCATGATCGTTCCAAAGTTGTGAAAGAATTGCTTCTTTTTCACTTGAAAGCTATGCCAAGAGAAAAAGAAAGATACGTGATCAAAGGGAGAGCCAGTTTACCCCGCATTGAAGATTATAGGAGGAAGAAGGTAGATGAAAAGCAATTGCTCGTGAGGATATAGATCACGAAGCCGACAGCACAACCCTGATAGAAAAAAGATCATGTAGAGAAAAAGTTTCTATCGAGAGATGGTTTCAATAAATCATACCAGGATAATCGCAATGGTCGCTTGATTCAGCCAGCGATTCTCCTCGTAGTAATGGCCGATGACAATGCACACGCACAGCAACGATACGAAGAGCGAGATCGAGATCACGGCCGCACGCTGAGATCCTGCCGCCGAAATCTCTGCCGCTTTTGCCACCAGGAATTCATACAGCCAGCCGACATTCTCCATATCCAATCCCCGAGAAATCACAAACAATCGAGAGTGCCAGCAGAGGACGATTGGATAAGAATGCTGCGTCAAGATCCACAGATCACGCTCAAGCGATCGACATCCATCCAGATTTTACCTCTCCAGAAGCCGATCGATCAAAGATTGGCTCTCTTGGCGCTCCAGAGGACCAAAAGAAGGACCCAAAACCCCTAAAGAGTTTTAGCATGCATAGCTGGCGGGAAAGTCACAGCTGGCGTAAGTGACACCGTTGGAATTTGAAGGCCAAGATAAATTCTTCCAGAACAAAAGAACAAGAAATTTTTGTATGAACCCGGTGTGACTCGAACACACAGCCTTCTGATCTGGAGTCAGACGCGCTAGCCATTGCGCCACGGATCCTTAACACAAAATACAATGTAAACATCACCATAATAAAATTTCTTAATCGGTGCTAACGCGTTTTCGCTGTGAAAGCCACCATCTCCTCCCTCGTGGACATCTAAAGAAACGATAGCAAGTTCCAGAGATGAAGAGCTCAACAAAGAGGCGGTAGCAACACTCAAAACACGTACCTGGATCAGTCGACTGTGTTGAGCATCTGTTTGTAGTGGGGAGCAGCATAAAGATCTTCTATGTTCTTGCGGTGAAGATAAGAAAATGTCTCGTACGAGATCGCAAGCGAGTTGCTTCCTGGCTGGAAAGAGTCCCGGCAACACGAGAAGATGAAAAAACGTCAAGGCCAAGCCATCAACAGTGGAAAATGTGTACCTTGCGAGAAGATCATTTACTTTGGTCATTGTTGTGGTGCGTCGCAGATGTATTCCTTGTCAAGAGGTACGTTAACTCCGCTAAAGCAAAAGCATGCAGGCGGGAAAGTACTCACCACAGCTGGTGCAATGGAAATTGGCGTGCAAGATAGATTCCACCAGGTCATTTCTTCACGGCAAACGAAGTCGACTGATGACCACGGAAATCCACCCTGGAGTCGTGTCCTTTCACAGGCCATCTCTTCTTCAATTTTGCGAGCTATTTCTCTGAGATTACAACAAAGATTTTAAAACCTTCCGATTGTTAAGCGAACATATTACCGTGGTCACGAACTTTCAGAACTTTGTTCAGAAGCAGACTTCGCGAAACTGCAGCCAAAAGAAAAGCATATCAGAGACAAAGAAAAGAAACTAAGAACCTTGGTTCCGTTGCGCTTCGTTCACGGGTACCTGCACTATCACGTTCTCGCTTTCTTCCCGGAGAGATGCTGCATTCTCATTGCGCTGTAAACAAACCTCTGGTTGCGATGGACTCATCAGTTCATGTTATTCAAGAAAGAAGTATCGTCGGCTATGTACATAGCAGAGAGAAGCTGGTCCAGGAACAGCTTCTCACAAAAATGAGGCAGTAGCAACACTAGTTAGTAGCCTCAAAACAAGTAGCTGGATGAGTCGAGCCCGTTACGTACGTCTTTGGAGAGCATCGAGCGTGCTTCCATCACAGATCGAGGAGGCTCCAAGTCTTTTTCATGAAGAGAATTCCCTTGCAACCGCTGCATCTGCGATGCAAAGATGTCGTCCAAAACCTTCGCAAAGCAGTAAAAGAAATTAAATGACATGAGCTCACACGACTTCGAAATTTTTTAAAACATACCCCAAGAGCAAAGCACGAGGATTTGTACCACGACCTGTTCTCCTTTCGGTTCTCCAGAAAATGAAGCACGTCCTGAAGAGAAGAGCGCGTCAAAAACACAAGCGAAAAAAACGAGCTGAATACCTTCGCCATCCGATCCCAGTAACCTCGAGAAACGGCAACGAAGACTCGTGTAGTAAACACTTCGTGAAGATGTGAGATTGTTTCAAGAAGCTGAGTGTTGAGATGTTGCATGCGTTCTCGCATATCGGTTTCTCCAGCGGCTTCTCTTGTATCTTCCAAGATCCTTTTCAGCTTGGTGCTCGGATGAAGCCGCGCCTGCAGCATGAAGATGTAAACAATGAAAGTAACGAAAACATCTTACGTTATCTGCTAGCTTTTCCACAATTGCTTGGAGTAGACTCCTGTACTTCGTTCGCAATGCGACCGTCACTTCGTTCAGCCGCTCCCCGAAGACCATCTTTCCAAGAGAAGCACCGTCAACAGGGAGGCATGCAACCCATGCTTTCAATTGCGTCTCTAGCTTTGGACGCAATGTGTCCAACAACCGCTTTATTGTGTTGAGAACAACTCCGAGCTGTTAAATTTATGATAGTCATTAGGATCGAGCCAGCGAATACGCGACTGAAATCTAGGATACTTACCTGGTTAGGCACACTATATAGTGTCAGAGACCTCCGCCTTGCTAGCTTCTGCATATATTGCAAAGTGAACTTCTTTGGTACCATCACTTCTTTCAACGGCACAAGAACATCTGCGTAGTGCTTCTCCAATGCAGTTAAGACGGCCCTTTCGACGTCAGCCACCGCCTACATGAAAATAAACATTGAGAATAGATTTAAAACATAACAGTCGGGTCACCCTTACATTCTCTAGAACAAATGTGTACTCTGGCCAGCGGCTGATAATCACGTCATACTCGCTTAGTGTTTCTTTCATTCTTTCATAAACCTCCTCAACGAAAGGCGCAGTACCGTGTTGAGTTGTTACACCAGCTAGGCGCACCTGCAGGAATTTGTCAGATACGCAGCTAGTATGAAAAAGCGCTTAACTTTATCGAATTTGCAGACTTCCAATAATTGAAGTCTTTTTTCTTGAATCCACAGAACGATGTAGAGGTGAAACAGGTCTTTTGCATCCACACCTCCCTTGACAGACCTGCAATATTCCTTACATACACTTGTCAGAAATCCTGCTCGTAAACATTTCTTACTTTACACCCCATGACGACAAGTCACGCTGGAAATTAGCCGTCGCGATAAGTAGATCCGCAACAGGTGGCGATGGGCTCGAAGGGGGACAGGCGACCAGAAACGCTCGGAGCCGATTGCAAACCTCCACATTGTAGATGCTCGCCGTTATGTTCGGCAAGTCAATTGAGCTGCAAACAATAACTTGAGGCTGCTACAACGAAAGTTCAGAGTCGAGTACCTTGGAAGTACATGTTGGTTGTGGATTTCCATGTCCGTGGCAATCTCTGCGCTAACACAAGAGCACAGATTTTTCATTTTAAGGTATGCGGTGGCAAGTGACAGGGGATCCGCCAAAAACCCGTCATTTGTAGTCGCAACAAATTCATCAGTTTCCGCCATGAGTCGCTTGCATCTTTTCCTCGCAGCAGTCTGATCAGAAACCACGTAAGAGAAAGAAAATCATCTCAAGTTCTTGCCTGGAAGTAATTGCGAAGCGTCGCTTGCGCTTCTGTCGAGAGTATGTCGTTCAGCAAGGTAAAAACTTGCACTGCCGGTGAGAGACTGGGTGCAGCTACACCAGACGGCGGCTGGAAAAAATCTATAAAACCAGAAGGTGATGACTCGTCGAGAGACTTGTAGTTCTCAAAAACAAAAGCCAGAAGTTGCGAAAGTTGTTCTTCAACATCTGCAAAAATCCGTTTCTAGCGAGCAATAATCGTAAGTACTCAGTTCTTTTGTACAACGCGATCTTACCTCCTGTCGATTAAGCTCACTCTCATCCCTCGCAGTGATAATAGGAATCAACAGCTCATAAATCAATGATAGGCAATCTTCGGTAGGCGTGGCCACATCCATGACACATGCAAGGTACCTGAAGGACTCCATTCAGGCGTCTCAGTTTGAAATCGAAAGCGTACCTCAGTTTCGTGTAAATGTCTGAAACACCGTAATACACAGCAAACTCGCACAGAAGCCATTGCCAGGACCCATACAATCGTAGCCTTCGCCGTCCAAATTGGTGCACTTTCATAGCCACCTCCAGAACAATGTCGTAAGCGACAGTCTCCCCTACAGCACCCCACTGAAAAAGATAAACGCACATAAGAACGCTAGAGAAAAAAAGCAAGATTTAGTCACCTTTCCCGGGCCTAATTCCGACGATGTCGTAACATAGCTGATAAACAGCTGCAATTTTCCAACGCATTCATGATCGGGCTCGTTATAGATTGGCCACCACCGCACACGGTCGCTCTGAAACATTCACGGGTTACTTGTGTTTGAAACATAAATAAGGAATACATTACCATCTCATCCGTAGCTGAGAGTTGAGCAGTAGCACGACCAAGTAAGGATCCTTTGCAGTCAGAAACTTCGACTAGCAACTCATCCGCTGTAACTTCCGGGTGGCTGTTAGAAAAAAGAAAGAACTCAAATCAGTCTCTTTCTTTTCTCCAATTCGAAATAAATAAATCCACTTACAAGATGGACACTTCTCCACCACCAGGTTGCACGCGGACAGCCTCACTTTCGGGAGAGCTTCTCAGCTTCAGCACGCAGAAATACGAATCTGCGAGCAAATGTGGTTCGTTGGGAAAAGATGCATGAAAATCTTCACCTTGTGACTCTAGGAGCGACGCACTGCGCAAGGTGTTTACTCCAGCTTTCAACAGCCCGGAAACCTGTCTCATATACTGTGCTCCAGTATTCAAGTAGCCGCTGTTTTGCACGTTTGACGGCCCTTGCATGCTGTTTGCTCGCAACGGTTGACGAGGAATGACGCGAATCTTCCTCACTGCCCCCCAGCCCGACCAAAGTTTGTTAGAAGAGCGTCTACCCACAGAATAAACGTTGGAAAAGGTTTCGGCGAGAGATGGAAACTGGCATCCGGAACGCATCCTCATAATCAACTTCACTTTACGAACTGCTCCCAACCCAGCACAGAATTGTGCAGATTAGAATGCTAGCTCACACCTCATTCCTCCCCATCCTCCACCCTTGGAAATGACAAAAAGGAAATGAAATCACGTACCTTGCACTTTGACTTTCCCAACAGTCGCTTTTGCTTTCGATCCCGATCGAGCGTCCACATCATATTGCGACTCCTTGGTCGACGATTCCCCGTACGGCTGTAGAAGAAGTTGTTGCAATCTGAGAAAACCATGAAAAGCATGAAACCAAAGAAGAAAAATGAAAAGCATATTACCCGAAACTTGTCCGGAGTAGAATGCACTCGTCACGCAAAAACTCGGGAGCCTCGGCGCAGCCTCGAGACCAAGCATGAAGGCACAGGCGAATGCAAGCCTCGTAGGCGATGATCGCTTGCCATGCAGCGTGGCCACTGTCAAGCGTTGATATCTTTGTGCTCTCAAAGTCGGAAGAAGCTGCTGTTGGTGCTGTTGTAGTCGCTGCTGCCGCTGCTGCTGTCTCTCCTCCATCGAAATTCACTCCTCCATCGAAGTTTACTGCTCCTCCATCGAAATTTACTGCTCCTCCGTCGAAATTCACTGCTCCTCCATCCAAATGTATTGCTCCTCCATCAAAGTTTACTTCCGTGGACGCAGACTCTTCTTCTTGATCTTCTTCCTCTACCTGGTCAAGTGCCGAGATCTTTGCATTCTCAAACTCGGAAGAAGCAGTGGATGTAGTGGCTGCTGCTGCCGCAGTAGCTTCGCCGTCGAAGGTTACATCCGTGGACACATACTCGTCTTCTTCTTCCTCTACCTCGAATGCCGAATCCCGATCCTCCCTGAAGCTCTCCACCTGGCGAACCCACTGGAGAGCGCTGTGATCTAGCCCTTCCGTGAACATCCCTAGCTACCTACGATCTACCGCTTGGCGCGCCGCGGTGCCGTCCCTCTCTCCTCTCC